AGTCTTTGAAACTCGAAAGTGTTTATTGCATGATAACATCTAGATTTTAAATTTAAAAGTAACAAAATTAAAATATGATTGAACACCAGCTGCATATATCATCACCTTTGAAAATAAGAACAATTTCCTAAAGAATTCTTAACCATTTTCTAGGTAGCATTTTCCTTATCTTCCCTGCACTTGAGTTTAACAATTTAGTATCGTTTTTCAAATCTTTGGGATTTGTGAGTCCTTGGAAGCTTCAGTGGCCATGTGAATGAATAGCTGTAGTTGTTAAGGTCTTTGAAAGTTGAAATAGCATTTCCACCGTGGACTTCATACATCAGTCTTCACTAGTGATTTCTGAGAAGCAAACAGATTTTGCTCTTTCTGAAGGGCTCCCAGTGTGACCACAGAGCAGCAGCACTTTTATCCCTTTGTTTCAAAATAATTATCCTCAGGAAACGCAATGACATTGAAGGAGCACCTCAGACACTTTTGTAACTGTAAAAGCACAGGTATTAGCATTTGAAATAAAAAATAGAAGATCCCACGAATGAATCTGAGAAAATTGGCTAAAAGCATTTTATGGACAAACTGAATTACATCAAAGCCACTGACAGTAACGTCTGTATCTGTGAGTTGGCTTCAGCAGTTCCCTTTCTTGTTTCTATGCCTGGTGAAGTTAAACATAGGTCTGTAAAGTGTACGGCTAAAATATAGGAAAAGTATGAGGATTTCATCCCTCTGCAATTTTCTATTCTTATATCTCCCTAAACCCACATCAATACCCTAAAAACTTTACTGACTATCTGACTGGTACTATGCATGGTGATAATCATTTTGGGTGCATAATGAAGAAGAAAAAGTCACCATCTTAATGAGGAATCAGATTAATGGGGAAGATAGACATGGGAAATAAATGGACATACACATATTTTCCATAGAATGAAATGGTGCCATAACAAAAGGTAAGGACAAAATGATATGGCAAGTCTGAACAGTTTGGGGAGAAATAATTTAAATGTATTAAGAACTTCTAGGAAGTCACCAGATATAAAAGAGAATGCAGGACATTCCAGGCAAAGGAAATAACATTTACAAAGCCACAGGATATGACAGGGAGACAGAGTTCAGGAAAAAGCATGTGTTTTGGTATGGCTAGAATATAAGGCATAAATGATGCAGAATTTTTTGCTCCATAGTTCAGTTAAAATCTGGGTTCTTGCCTCACAACCAGAAAGCATTAGGCACGTGGGCACATTGAAGAGTGAGGAGGCTGGATTTATTAACGAAAGAAAATGAGGAGGGATGGATTTATGAAGCGAATAAAAGCCCTCAGCAAAGAAAGAAGGGGTGCTGTCAATAGGATCCCACCTCACAGATTGAATACCTCACCACACAGGAGCAGAAAAGTCCAGGCTCCACCTCCTGCATAAGGTGTGAAATTTTGGTGGCTCCACCTCATTCTCCCAGTGTGTATGTGGGCCCTCAGTCCATCGTGGACAGGCCCAGTCAAGGCCCTGTGCATGTTCCCTTACCTGTCTCCTGCATCTATCATAAAGGGAAATGAGAATTCAGGCAATGAGACTGAGAAAGACCAGATTGTGAAGAGCGTTATGAGCCATAATAAATGTTTGAACGTATAGTAGTACTATAAAGTATCAGAAATCAATATGATTTTTAATGTAAAAATAATAATTTTAGCAATTTAAAAAATAACTTATAAGAGTAAAGAAAGAAAACTGAGTGAGCAGAACATGGATATAAGAAGGAAGGGCTATTGCAGTAGTCAAGAATGGTGAATGATGGCAAGGATCTGAACTAATTGGCAATCTTGTTGATGGGAGAGGAGTATCCAGCTTCAGAAGATACGTGACTGAATTGATCAGTCTTAGAAGTTGGAAGAGGAATTTAGCCTGGGTGGAAGCATGATTATGATGCTATTGATTCCTTTAGGAAACGTCAGTGGATGGTAGATGTAAATAGAGTGCCATTTTGTCTACATCGAGATGAGGAAGCTGTGGTCACTCTGGTGCAGGTATCTAGTAGTCACTGGGAATGTGAACTATTGGTGGATAAATGATATTTGCAGTCTTGGAAGTATTTGTGGTCATCCCCGCCCCACCCCACCCCCAAAAAAGAGAAAAAAGTAAACAATTTGCCAAAATATAAACAACCCATTTGTGGACCTGTACTTTAATCCCTCTACTCTCATGGGGGCTTGGTGTACAGATTATTCTATTACCCAGGTAATGAGCATAGTATCTGATAGGTAGCTTTTCCAATTCTGACCTTCCTCCAACCTCCACCCTCAAATAGGCCGTGGTGCCTATTTTTCCCTTCTTTGTGTCCATGTGTACTCAATGTTTAGTTCCCACATAAGTGAAAACATACAGTATTTGGTTTTCTATTCCTGTGTTAGTTCACTTAGGATAATGGCCTCCAGTTGTAACCAAGTTGCTGCAAAAACAGGATTTCATTCTTTTTTATGGCTGTGCAGTATTCCTAAGGGCATCTAGGTTGATTCCATGTCTTTACTATTGTGAATGGTGGTGCACTGAAAACACCTGTGCATATGTCTTTATGATAGAATGATTTCTATTCCTTTGGGTTTATACCAAATAATGGGGTTGTTGGCCTGAATGGTAGTCCTAAGTTCTTTCAGAAATTGCCAAACTACTTTCCACAGTGGTTGAACTATTTTACATTCCGACCAGCAGTGTGTAAATGTTCCCTTTTCTTTATAGTCTCACCAGCATCTCTTATTTTTTGACTTTTAAAAATAGCCATTCAAACTGGTATGAGATGGCATCTCATTGTGATTTTGATTTGCATTTGCCCAATGATTGGTGATGCTGAGCATTTGTTTCATATGCTTGTTGGCCAAATGTGTGTCTTCTTCTGAAAAATGAGTGTCTATGTCTTTCCCCACTTTATAATGGGATCATTTGTTCTTTGCATATGAATTTAAGTTCCTTCTGTGTCCTAGATATTAAACCTTTGTTCAATACACAGTTTGCAAATAATTTCTCTCATTCTGTTCTGTTTACTCTGTTGACAGTTTCTTTTGCTGTGCAGAAACTCTCTAGTTTAATTAAGTCCCATTTTTCAATTTTCATTTGCATTGCAATTGCTTTTGCAATCTTCATCATGAACTGTTTTCCAAGGCTTATGTCCAGAATGGTATTTCCTAGGTTTTCTTCTTGGATTTTTTTAAATAAAACATCCTGTTATAGCATCTTCTTGGATTTTTATGGTTTTAGGTTTTACATTTAAGTCACTATGCAAATTGAGTTGATTTTTCTATATGGTAAAAGAAAAGGGTCAAGTTTCAATCTTTGGCCTATGGCTAGCCAGTTATCTCAGCACCACCTATTGAATAGAGAATATTTTCACCCTTGATTGCATTATTAATTTGGCTCTCAGCTTGGATGTTGTTGGTGTATAGAAATGCTACTAATTTTTGTGCATTAATTTTGTATACTGAAACTTTGCTGAAGTTGTTTACCAGATCAAGGAGATTTTGGGCAGAGACTATGGAGTTTCCTAGGTATGAAGTTGTATCATCTGCAAACAAATGTTGACTTGCTCTCTTCCTATTTGGATTCCTTTTTATTTTTTTCTCTTGCCTGACTGCTCTGACAAGAACTTCAAATACTATTATTAATATGTTGAATAGGAATGGTGAAAGTGGGCATCCTTATCTTGTTCCAGTTCTCATGGGGAATGTTTCTAGATTTTGCCCATTCATTATGAAGTTAGCTGTAGGTTAGTCATAGATGGCTCTTATTATTCTGAAGTAAATTTCTTCAATGCCTAGTTTGTTGAGAATTTTAAACATGTAGCATATTGAATTTTATCAAAGTCTTTTCTGCATGTATTGAAATAATCATGTGGTTTTGGTTTTAGTTCTGTTTATGTGATGAATCACATTTGATTTGCATGTGTTGAACTGAACTTGCATCCCAGGGATAAAACTCACTTGATCGTGGTGGATAAGCTTTTTGATGTGCTGCTGGATTCAGTTTGCAAGTATTTTGTTGAGGATTTTTGCCTGGATGTTCATCAGAGATACTGGCTTGAAGTTCTCTCTCTCTTACTCTCTGTCTCTCTGTTTTCTTTCTTTCTCTCTCTCTCTCTCTCTCTCTGTCTCTCTCTCTCTCTGTGTGTGTGTGTGTGTGTGTGTGTGTGTGTGTGTGTGTGTGTGTGTCTGCCAGGTTTTGGTATCAGGATATGATCCTCACCACTCATGGGATGAGTTAGGGAGGTATTCCTCCTCCTCAATTTTTTGGAATAGGTTCGGTAGGAATGATATCAGCTCTTCTTTGTACACCTGATAGAATTTGTCTATGAATCCGTCTGGTCCTGGCTTTTTTTGTTGTTTGTTTGATTTTTGTTTTTGTTTTTGTTGTTGTTCAGCAGGCTATTTATTATTGATTTTGTTTTGGAACTTGTCATTGGTCTGTTCAGGGATTCAATTTTTTTCCTGGCTCAGGCTTGGGGGAGTGAATATGTCCAGGAATTTATCCATTTCTTCTAAATTTTCTGGTTTGTGTTCATAGAGGTATTCATAATATTTTCATATGGTTAGTTGTATTTCTTTGGGGTCAGTGATAATGTCCCCTTTGTCACTTCTAGTTGTGTTTATTTGGATCTTCTCTCTTTGCTTCTTCATTAGTCTATCTAGCAGTCTATTCTGTTAATTTTTTCAAAAAATACCTTCTTATTTCATTGATTTTTTGAGTGGTTTTTCATGTCTTAATCTCCAGTTCAGCTCCAATTTTATTTCTTGTCTTCTGCTAGCTTTGGAGTTGGTTTGCTCTTGTTTTTCTAGGTCCTCTAGGAAGGTCTAGAGTGTGATGTTAGGTTGTTAAATTGGGATCTTTCTAACTTTTTGATATGGGCACTCAGTGCTATAAAATTTTCTCTTAACACTGCTTATCTGTGACCCAGAGATTCTGGTATGTTGTATCTTAGTTTTAATTAGTTTCAAATAATTTCTGCCTTAATTGCACTAGTTACCCAAAAGTCATTAGGAGCAGGTTACTTAATTTCCATGTAATTGTATGATATTGAGTGACCTTCTTAGTATTTCTATTTTTATTGTGCTGTGGTCTGAGAGTGTGCTTGGTATGATTTTGATTTTATTGAATTGATAAGAATTGCTTTATGGCTGAGTGTATGGTCAATTTTAGATTATGTATGTGCAGGTGATTAGACTGTATATTCTGTTGTCATTGGGCAGAATGTTGTTTAGATGTCTGCTAGGTCCATTTGGTCAAGTGTTCAGTTTAGGTCCTGAATACCTTTGTTAATATTCTGCATTGATGATATGTCTAATACTGTCAATGGGGTGTAGAAATCTCCCACTATTATTATGTGGGAGTCTAAGGCTCTTTGTAAGTCTCTAAGAACTTGCTTTATGAGTCTGGGTGTTCCTGTATTGGGTGCACATATATGTAGGATAATTGGGTATTATTATTGATTAAACCCTTTACCATTATGTAATGGCCTTGTCTTTTTTGATAATTGTTCATTTAAAGTCTGTTTTGTCTGAAATTAAAATAGCAGTCCCTGCTTCTTTCTGTGTTTTATTTGTTTCGTAGGTTTTCCTCCATCCCTTTAGTTTGAGCCTATAGATGTCATTGCATGAGATAGGACTCTTGAAAACAGCATATCATTGCATCTTGTTTTTTTATCCACCTTGCCACTCTGTGCCTTTTAAATGGGGCATTTAGTACACTTACATTCAGGATTAATATTGATATGTGCAGATTTGATCTTGTCATTATGATCTTAGCTAGTTATAATGCAGGCTTGATTGTGTACACTCTTTATAGTGTCAGTGGCCTACGTACTTAAGTGTGTTTTTGTGGTGGCCCGTAATGGTCTTTCATTTCCACAGTTAGCATTACCTTAAGGACCTCTCACAAGGCAGGTCTGATGGTAATGAATACTCTTAGCATTTGCTTATTTGAAAAGGATCATTTTTCTCCTTCGCTTAGGAAGCTTAGTTTGGCTGGATATGAAATTCTTGGTTTGAGTTTCTTCTCTTTAAGTATGCTGAATATAGGCTCTCAATTTCTTCTGGCATGTAGAGTTTCTCCTGAAAGGTCCATTGTTCACCTGTTGGAGTTATCTTTGTAGGTGATCTGCCTCTTCTGTCTAGTTATCTTTAATATTTTTTCTTTCATGTTGACCTTGGAGAATCTGATGACCATGTATCCTGAGGCTGGTCATCTTGCACAGTGTCTCACAGGGGTTCTCTGCATTTCCTGAATTTGAATTCTGGCCTCTCTAGTGAGTTTGGGAAAATTTTGATGTAATCAGTCTACCCTGTCTCATGACAATGTTTTGCCATCTTTTTTTCCCTGTGAGGTTTTCAAGGGTGTATATCAAGAAAATGGAGATTCTGGTTGTTTACACATAATACAGATAATTATAGTTCATATTAGTGTCTCATGATTTATGAGGCACAGGACACAGGGAGGGGAGCATCACACACTGGGGTCTGTTGAGGGGGACTAGGAAAGGGACAGCAGGGAGCTGGGAGGTTGGGGAGGGATAATATAGGAAGAAATGCCAGATATAGGTGATGGGGGAATGGAGGCAGCAAACCACATTCCCATGTATGTACCTATGCAACAATTCTGCATGTTCTGCACATGTACCCCGAACCTAAAGTGCAATAAAATATAGACATATATATAATTAAATGTAAAGTACATGTGTTTAAGTCTCAGACCAACAGGATTTTAAACATTGACTTCTGTTTACTGACAGAGCTATTTTGGTAAAATTGCATAATCTCATTGTCTCAGTCTCATCATCTATTTTTTGGAAAAGTAGACAGGAAGATAAAGCATAAAGGTATAGGATAAGACATAAAAGAAAAGGATCCAGATTGTATGTAAAATGCCTGGCCAACAATAGTCTCCTGTGAATGATGATGATGTTATATGAAGATAACAAGAAGAATTTTTATAGTTGGGGGTGGGATATCCAAAATGTTTAACTTCTTTGGGCCTCAGTTTCCTGACCAGTAAGTTGAAAAAAATATCAAATGTAGTGTTGTCAAAACACAGATTATGTCAAATATGAACCTGTATTATGATGCAGATGATCTGATAAAGAAGGATCTAGCAAAAGATAGATTTATGTCACATACATGAAGAAAAGAAGAGGTACAGTTATAATCTTGTAGCACAATAAAGCCAGGACACTGGGCAACAGAATAACATGAAAGGCATGAGGAGACATTGTCACTAGTCACAGCAGCAGAGCAAAAGTTCTCCAGAAGTTTCCTCACAAACCTACTCTCAAGTCACATTGGGCAGAAATAAGTCACATGGTCATCCTTCCCTGGAAAGGAACTTCCAGGGAAATGCGTGTTCTCATTTTCTCAGCCCTCTGAGAGATAACTTGGAATGGCTATCAGGTAGCCAAGTGGAAGAGTCTTGCACAATTATAAGGAGACATGTAATATAAAAATTCAATTAAATTTAATTTTTCTTTTTTTTTTTTTTGGTTTTCCACTTAGTTAAGGATATACTTACCCTAAAGTGTTGGTTTTTACTAAGGCCTAAACAAATGCAAAAGGGAATTCCTCATCTATTTCAGTGCTTTCTAATCTTTTTCAGCTTTAGCATATTTTGTTTTTTTTAAATATTGCAATGAAGCCCAATATTTAAAATTTAAAAAAGCAGGCCCTCTCTAGAAGAAGGTTTAGGGGCTCCAGAGCCCTGACCTATTTATTCTATCAATATTTGGTTTCCCACTGTCTAACATTGTCCCCCTTTCCAGCCAGTAAATGTGACTCCAACCCTACCCCAGTGGCTTGGATACAGTCCCTATGAAAATCAGCATTCATTCATCTTCCACTTGAACCAGGCTCTGTGCTAGGCCCTGGAATCAACTTAAAAGGTCGATAAGGCCTCAGCCTTTATTGAACTTATTTCCCAGGTTAAGAGATAGATATATAGATGCTGCAGGAAGGGAGGTTAAGTAAAACGAAAGCTGAATTTTAAAAATGTCCAAGGTGCATAATTTCTGTAAGAAAAAGAACTAAAGAGCCCAGATAAAGCATAACAGGAAGGCTGCTGGCTTTGGATATGGTGATCACAGAAGGGCTTTCTAAGGCAGAGACTTGGAGACGAAGGACCTAGCTCCATAAAGAGTAAGGGAGAGGGAAGTCTAATCAGAAAGAATCACGAGTTCAAATATTAGGAAGCAGGGGCAACTAGATGTGTTTGAGAGGCAAGTGTTAGGACCTACAAAGCCTTGAAAACCATAGGCAGAGACTTGGATTTTATTCGAGATGTCACAGAAAGACTCAGAAGATAGTTTTGAAGGGAAGCATAAGATATGATCTAATTTACATTTAAATAAGATAATAGTAATATAGAAAAAATGGAAAAGCCTATGATTAATATTTTGGCAAAATGTGTTTTTGGAATTTGTAAATATTATGCCACATCTTTATAGTTAAAAAACATCTTTAAAGTAAAAAAAAATCATATTTTTTGAATACTTAAATGTTTTGCTGAAAATGGCATAATGTAGCCCTAGATAGAAACTTCATCTTCGCTCCATTTTTCCTTCCTCTGCTATTTACTTTGAATAGCAACTTTTCTCTTACTGAAAAATTGAGATCAAGCCTGAAACCCCTTTGTCTCTGCAATAAGTTTATCAGCATTTATTCTCAACTAAGACAGCTTCTTTCTAAAGGAATTTTGTTCTAGCTACAAGGAAAATATTTCTTCCAAGTATTACCCTTTGATTAGATTTGAACTAAAAACAAATGTCCCATGTTGGGGAAAACTAGACGGCCTGTCTCTTGTAAGATCACTAATTCCACTGAATCTCTCTCCCCTCCCACAGCTGTCTCTGTCTCTTTCTTTCTCTGTTTGTCTCTCTGTATCTATCTATCTATCTATCTATCTATCTATCTATCATCTAGCATCTATCATTCCATGGATCTATCATCTATCGATCATTGTATCTGTCAACCCTCTCTCATCTGTATCCCTCTCTCTCAATGTCTCTTGTGTTCTGTTTATGTAATAGAGTAATATGCAGATAACAGAGGCTGTCGAGAAAGTGGTCTATAGAGAAATATTGTCTCTCTATATTACAAAAGTCTAATTTTTTTGGATTTATTAAAAAACCAGATGTTGAGGATCCAAACATGCAACTGCAAAGCTGAACTAAGGCCAGTAGTCCATCAGAGCAGTTTAGATATTCACCAGCCAGTTCAAACAATCTATATTTTTATTCTTTTTTATATATTTAATAATTGCCCTATAGAAGTTTAATACAGAAAAGGGACATGAGTTTTTAAAATTGAAGTATTGCAGAAGAAAAGTGTTTTTCACGATGATATAAATATCTTGTGTTGGGTAGTGTGTGTAAGTATCTTCAGATATTAGAGAGGAAAATGTGATAACTTATTTCAAAGAGATTTGCATCAAACTGCTTTGTAAGAACTGCAGAGCCATTTTTGATTGTTGAATTTGTAGACAGGTGCATAAAATCCTTACTGTTGTAACCGCAGCCCTCTGCTAACCAGATTGGCTGTTATTTTTAAAAGATGAGGGAAGCACTTACAGCATAGTAAACCTAATATGGTGGGTATTGTGAATCAATTTGTACTATCCTTGACTTTCTGATATATTAAAATTCTAAAAGATCATTAGCCACCTCTGGGATATGTTTGATTAATGGGTTTGGTTAAACAAAAAAGGTGAGGTCAACCGTGAGCAGAAAGTTTTTTTTAAAAAAAGCGTATTCCAGAAGAAATGTATGCTTCCCAAATTACAAATGAGAAGTTCATTCCTTAGGCATGTTCTAATCAATGAAACCATATGTTCTCACTGAGATGACCTCAGAGCAGACTTATAGCCATCCCACTTATTCGCCTTTCAGCTACCGGCATGTGACTTCTGAGGCTAGGGTATTAGCACACCTGCTGAAACTGTGTTAATCTAGGTAATGCAGAGTCCCCAAACACATGCTGTTTAAAAAAGCAGTTTTAAAAAAAAAAAAAAAAAAAAAAAAAAAAAAGACTAGGCTAATGTCTCACAGTGAGGAAAAATCCTCTGTCATTAGAGAAGGTGAAACATACTCCTGCTTTTTTGACATTAGATACCTTTTACTAAAAATTAATCTCTTTCGCTCTTTTCAGCAGTGCATTTTTGCTTCTCCATTATAAAAGCTCTCCTCTCAATAATTCCATGAAGATAGGCTGAGATAACACAACAAGGAAAACATTTTGCTTTATTTGCCAAAAGGAGACCATAGTTTGTTTTTTCCTTAACTATTGGCCTTCTTACCCCCTGGAGTTTATCACCCTGCACAAATTAGGCTGATTTTATAAACTGAAGATGCTCTTTCTATTAAGCTCTCCTCAAAGTGAAAGCAATGGGCTTCATTCTATTTATCACACT